GAGAGCAATGTCCAATCTCGATAAAATAGTGAAAAGTAGAGACATCACACTGGCAACAAAGATCCGCATAGTCAAAGCAATGGTATTCCCATAGTCACCTACGGATGTGAGAGCTGGACCATAGGGAAGGCTGAGTGAAGGAAGATAGATGCTTTTGAACTTTGGTATTGGAGGAAAGTGCTGAGAGTGCCTTAGACAGCAAGAAGATCCAACCAGTCCATACTTCAAGAAATAAAGCCTGACTGCTCATTGGAGGGAAGAATAGTAGAGGCAAAGATTAAATACTTTGGCCACATCATAAGAAGACAGGGAAGTTTTGGACATACCATCCTTCAACTCTTGATTTGCTTTCAGTGGGAGCAACCACTTGGTTTTCAAGGTGAATTTTAGGGAGTTATGTTTCCTGACTGCTCACTTGAGGAAAGGATATTAGAGGAAAAGATGAAGTACTCTGGCCACATCATGAGAAGACAGGAAAGCTTAGAGAAGACAGTGATGCTGGGGAAAATGGAAGGAAAAAGGGAAGAGGGGCTGACCAAGGGCAAGATGGATGGATGGCATCCTTGAAGTGACTGGATTCACGTTGAAGGAGCTGGGGGTGGTGACGACCATATTTCAGGCAGAGCAATAGGGCAAGATTATAGCTGGAGAATGTCATCAGTCATCAGGCCAGGTGCCCACATTAAAGTTCTTTTTGTGTTGCTTTCTCGGTTGTAGAAAAGAGTGATTATACTGAAAGAACCTGTCAAAAGTCAATAGATATCTTGCCAAAATTAGGAGAACAAAAATATGTTTCCACTCCCACAAGATATTCTGTTATTGTTTTTTTATTTAAAAAATCCTAAACTGATGACAAGGCAAGCAAAATAAATAAATAAATAAATAAATAAATCCAAGGAACATATTGCTCAAAAACATTAAAGCACACAAGAAAATGTTCTTTTAAATGTGCCAGAAACAGAAAGCCAGCCAGGGTGGCAGTGCCAGAACTTGGTCATAGGCAACAGGCAGATGGATGCCAGGAATCAGGATTTGTGCCAGGCAGCCTGACCAAAGGAACAAACAGCAGTCAGAACTAAAGAATACACCGAAAAACAGGGGGATTGTTCCTGTTCATCATGAAAGCACTCAGTCCAAATAGGAAGCTCTTCCTAGCCAAGAAAGCTCAATGGCCAGCTTGTTTTTACACTGCTTGTAGAGCTGCTGGTTTCCTGGTTGTACCAAGTGGATTGCTGGGTGACAAAAGAGTGCCAAAGGTGACCACTGCAAAGTATTGTTTTCATTCTCTTCTGGTTCAAGACAGGAACGTTCCAGTCCAGCTACAGTCTCTTAGAGTGCTTCCAGACAGTGCCAAAACCTGCATTTTAAATGAAGACAAAAATCCCAGAACCTGACTGCAGATCCCCACACAGACCTGTTAGTCCCGGGATTGAGTCCCTTGCCATCCTCACAGCCTTCCTCTGTATCAGAACAATCAAAGAATCATAGAATCACAGAGTTGGAAGAGACCTCATGGGCCATCCAGTCCAATCCCCTGCCAAGAAGCAGGAATATTGCATTTAAATCACCCCTGACAGATGGCCATCCAGCCTCTGTTTAAAAGCTTCCAAAGAAGGAGCCTCCACCACACTCCGGGGCAGGGAGTTCCACTGCTGAACGGCTCTCACAGTCAGGAAGTTCTTCCTCATGTTCAGATGGAATCTCCTCTCTTGTAGTTTGAAGCCATTGTTCCGCGTTCTAGTCTCCAAGGAAGCAGAAAACAAGCTTGCTCCCTCCTCCCTGTGGCTTCCTCTCACATATTTATACATGGCTATCATGTCTCCAAGATGGGGGATGTACAAGGGACATCCAATGGAAGAGTTTTTAAAAAAATTCACTCCATTTTTCACTGGAACATATATGCACAAATATGAACATCTTAATATATATATATATATATAAGTAGATCCGCATGTGTGCATATGAGTGCATAATAGAAGGACAGGGTAGAAATGTTCAAAATAAATAAATAGATATCCAAAATCATAATCAAAATCAAAATGATTTTGGACATCTTTCAATTTATGCAAATTGGGTTTTTGCAGTTGCCCATGCCTGTGTATGATAGTCAGAAAGCTCTAGTCATAAAAGAGTACAATTCAAAGTGTTGGCTTTAGCCTATAAAGCCCTAAACGGTTCTGGACCGACTTACCTGTCCGAACGCATCTCCTCCTATGAACCAGCTAGGACATTAAGATCATCTGGGGAGGCCCCGCTCTCGGTCCCGCCGGCATCACAGGCACGCCTGGCGGGGACAAGAGACAGGGCCTTCTCAGTGGTGGCCCCTCAGCTGTGGAGCACCCTTCCTACAGATATCAGATCAGCCCCCTCCTTATTGGCATTTCGGAGGAAAGTGAAGACCTGGTTGTTCGAACAGGCATTCGATTAGGCAGTGCAATTGATTATAGGAACACGGAATAACGGATGATGAGATTGGATTCTGATTCTATTGATGAGACGCGAATGATTTGTCATATTGATGTTTAATTGTTGTTATGCTACTGTTTTTAAATGCTCCAATCATTTTGTAGTGTGTGTATTGTAATTGCTGCTGTTAACCGCTTTGAGTCACCTAAGGGCTGAGAAAAGCTGTATATAAATGAAGTAAATAATAAATAAATAAATAAATAAATAATACTTTGTTGCCTGCTCCCATTCTTACGTTTTTTATTATTATTAATGTGATATCAGGATGTATTTGGACATACTCTGAAACTCTCTTGATCATGAAGATATATTTCTTGCCTTGTAAGGAATTTCCTAAAAAAATACATTGGGATTTTTATTTTTATTTTTTTGCATATGATATGGGGAGGGGGGGGGAGAAGTAGCTGATGGCACTATTGCTGTTATCTAGATGGAAACAGTTCTAGTTAAGAATAGTTTGCATGGATTTTCCGTTGAAAATGTCTTAAACTTGAGTGAATGGTAAAGTATGTTATACTTATTTTGTAAGTATACAAAATAAGTATAACATTGTGCCACATGCACAATGGAGGACCTTCTTGCAGCAACACCAGAGGCACTCCAAGTGCCCAGCTACTGGTCAAAGGACATTTAATCAACTACCAAGCTTGCAAACTTTGTGTTTGTTTGTTTTGTTTGTTAAAAAATGCAATGCAACTGTTTGGTCTGCCCCTGACACAATAAATAAATAAACTTATTTTGTACATATTGCTTCTCCAACTTAAATATCCACCAAATGTATATACATATGTTATAATATTATATTACATTAAATTTCTGTAATAGATATATGTAACTTGTAGCATGTAGCATTTACCCAACTTTCTCTTCAAATTTAATGTGATCCTGAAACATCCTTAGGAAAACCAGACCTCCTACTTCTAGAAACTAAATTTTGTTGTTCATTCATTCAGTTGCTTCCGACTCTTCATGACCTCATGGACCAGCCCATGCCAGAGCTCCCTGTCGGCCGTCACCACCCCCAGCTCCTTCAAGGTCAATCCAGTCACTTCAAGGATGCCATCCATCCATCTTGTCCTTGGTCAGCCCCTCTTCATTTTTCCTATGGTGTGTTGCTCTTTAGAGCATCGGATTCGTCGTTCACCTCCAACACCGTCGGTCACTAGCCTTCCTTTCCGCTTTGAGCTATCTGCATCATCACATCTGGGGCTAGTTGAACTTATCCTCTGCTCCTCCCCAGTAGCATTTTGGCCAACTTCCAACCTGGGAGTCCCATCTTCCAATGGCATACCGACATCTCTCTGGTTGTACTGGTCCATTTAGTTTTCTTGGCAAGAATACTGGGGTGGTTTGATATTGCCTTCCCCAAGGATCGTGCTTGGTCTGACCTCTCTGCCATGACCATCCCGTTTTGGGTGGCCTTTCATGGTTTCGCTCGTGACATCATTGAGGTGCTAAAGCTCCAGCACCACGACAAGGCGGCGGGCTTTTGTAACTAGGCAAAAGCATATACAAGTGGGAAGTTCTGCAAAATGTTTTTGCCTTAAAAGAAAAGGAAATCTTCAGTTATCAAGGGAAATGGCTTCTTGCAAGGATCATTGCTATTCCTTCATTTAAATTAAAAGAAAGAAGAACCATCAGGAGGAT